GTGCTTGACCCTTCTCCATTCTGGTTCCTACATGATTGTCACTCCGGTGGTTGCTGGCAAGAGTTTGGCAACGGCGGGCTGCTTCTTCGGGTTGGATTTTATGTTATTTTTATCTTTGTCATGTGTTTTCAAATTCAGGCATTTGTCGTTGTGGGATTGTGCCTCCCACTGTTTGTCTTGGGTCGTTGGCTGGCTTTGTAATTTGCTTTAAACTCAATGAATTCTCACTTTTCGTCTAGAAAAAAGGGGTGTGCTGTCCACATATCCCTTTTTATTTTATACATACTCTCTTAATTTACGGCCGTCGAATCAATTAAATTAAAAAAGAATAAAGGATAAAAATTAACAAGGATTTGTGAATAGCACACCAAAACCAAAAAAACCCGTAGACAACTATGCGTTTTAAGTTCCAAAAAATAATTCTCTAATTAAAATTTTGGGTTAATCTCTGTTTACTACCCTAAAGGTTCGTGGTTTTCAACATTTGGTACATGAAGTTTTCCCAGAGTCATACCTCAAGTCTTAAATTTGAGACAATTTCATACCTCCGTTAGTCAAACTGTTAAGTTTACCGTTAACTGATGACGTGGCACCCATGTGGATAATAACGGGACGCCACGTGTCATTCGCGTGGAAATTAAAAATAAATTATTTATAAAATAAAATAAAATAAAATAATTAATTAATTAAAAAAAAAACCCTTCTTCCCCAAATCCCACTTGTACCCACCCTACCACCCACCCCTTCATCTTCCCCAAATCCCTCCTCCCTCTGCAACAACAACGACCCGAGGCACCACCTCGCCTCGCCCCTCCGACGAGCTTCACCGCCACTAACAACCATCACTGTCTACCTCGCATATCCCCGTTCCCCTCGTCCCGCTCTCTCTCCTCTGTGCTTGAGGACCACCTTGCCTCACCCTTCCGACGAGCTTCACCGCCACCAACAACCATCACTGTCTACCCTACACATCCCCGTTCCCCTCGTCCCGCTCTCGTTCCTCTGTGCTCGAGGCACAGCTACAGCAATGGCATCCACCATCGCCATACTTCCCGATGAGATTTCACGGTGCTTCAACCTGGGAAAGCCTCGGGATGCTAATATTCTTTCATTTTTGTCATGGTGGTTTAATTTTAACCTAGAGTTTGCGATTTAAACGTCGGATTTGCACATGAACAGAGAAAGCAAGAAACTCATTTTTCCGGCGAAGGTCAGACGGCTTTTGAGCCGTTTTCAGGCCACTTTCCGGTTACGGCATGGCCAAATATTGGTATATTTATACTCCACTCCTCCGTAGCTTCAATTTGGTATATAATATTTCTAGGTTTTGGGGTTGATCGGAGCTCGGGGAGCTTTGGCGTTCTTCTTCGTGGAGTCATTTTAACTAAATTTACAATGGACTCATTAGTGATAAAATGTTGGGGTGTGGGTGCGAGAGAAAGAGTGTTAGGGGGGGGTGGGAGGGTCGGCATGGGTGGGATTTGGGGAAGAAGGTTTATTATTATTATTATTATTATTTTTTAATTTTTTAAATTAATTAATTATATGTTATAAATAATTTATTTTTAATTTTCACGTAGATGACACGTGGCGCTTAATTATTGTCCATATAGACGTCATGTCATCAGATGACACGTGGCGCTTAATTATTGTCCATATAGACGTCATGTCATCAGTTAACGGCAGACTTAGCAGTTTGACTAATAGAGGTATGAAACTGTCCCAAATTTAAGACTTGATGTATGATTCTGGAATGAAAAAAATTTTATGTACCAAATGTTAAAACTACAAAACTTTGGGGTAGCAAACAGATATTAACCCTAAAAATTTAGTAATAAGAGTTAAATACAGAACGGCGTCGTCCAGCGATCTCCCATCAAAAGCCAAAACCCTAACACCATCGAAACCAAAACCCTCAGCGACCCCAAGAGTGCCAAAACCCTAACACCATCAATGGCGGAACACCAAATCTCTAAGACCTTCCCTGTGAAACCCAAGCACAAGCCTAAGCCCCGAACCCCCAAACAAACCTCCGAATCCAAATACTGGTCCTCCTTCAAAACCAAGCAAATCCCTGACCTCATCTCCTCCATCTCCTCCCTCACCTTCTCCCCCACCGCCCCACACTCTTTCGCCGCCGCCCACTCCGCCTCCCTCACCCTCTACAACCCCCTCAACCAATTCTCCCCCACCGCCACCATCTCCGCCTTCCGCGACGTCGTTTCTTCTGCCTCGTTCCGCTGCGATGGCCTCCTCGTTGCCGCCGCCGACCTCTCCGGCCTCGTCCAGGTCTTCGATGTCAAAACCCGAAACCCGCTTCGGAAACTTAAATCCCACACGCGCCCAGCTCGATTCGTCAAATTCCCAGCAGCGGACAAGCTCCATTTGGTCTCTGGCGGCGACGACGCGATTGTCAAGTATTGGGATGTCGCCGGGGAGACCCCGATTTGCGACTTGCTCGGCCACAAGGACTATGTGCGGTGCGGCGATTGCTCGCCGGTCAGTACGGATATGTTCGTAACTGGTTCTTATGATCACACAGTGAAGCTTTGGGATGTGAGGGTTAGAGATTCGGGGTCGGTGATGGAGGTGAATCACGGAAAGCCGGTGGAGGACGTGATTTTCTTGCCATCCGGTGGGTTGATTGCGACGGCCGGCGGCGATTCTGTGAAGATTTGGGATTTGATGGCAGGTGGGAAAATGGTGTATTCAATGGAGAGCCACAACAAGACGGTTACTTCGATTTGTGTCGCGAAAATCGGGAAGGATAGCGGAGAGGAGGCGCAGCAATATAGGATTTTGAGTGTGGCATTGGATGGTTACATGAAGGTGTTTGATTATGCGAAAATGAAGGTCACTCACTCAATGCGGTTCCCTGCACCGCTTATGTCCGTAGGGTTTTCGCCCGATTGTATGACGAGGGTGATTGGAACTTCGAATGGGATGATCTATGCTGGGAGGAGGAAGTACAAGGAAGACGCCGGGGGTGGTTCTGATGAGGAGCTAGATAGGCCGCTTTCGAAGTATGAGAAGAGGGAGAAGAGGTTGAAGGCCTTAGGGGACGCTGGGGGTTTGGGACCTGTGATGGAGGAACCGCAGATTCGGGTTTTAAGGCCTTCGAATTTTAGGTATTTCCATAGAGGGCAAGGGGAGAAGCCGTCCGAGCGGGACTATGTGGTAATGAGGCCAAAGAAAGTGAAATTGGCCGAGCACGACAAGCTATTGAAGAAGTTTAGGCACAAGGATGCTCTGGTGTCTGTCTTGCGCAGCAAGAATCCGGAGAATGTCGTGGCAGTGATGGAGGAATTGGTGGCGAGGAATAAACTGCTGAAGTGCGTGTTGAATTTGGATTCAGAGGAGCTGGAATTGCTGCTGAAGTTCTTGCAGAAGCACTTGACCGTGCCGAGTTACTCGAGGTTGTTGATGGGGTTGACAGAGAAGGTTCTTGAGATGAGGACTGAGGACATTAAAGCTTCCGACGCGTTGAAGGGCCATATTCGAAACCTTAAACGGTCAGTTGAGGAGGAAATACGGATACAACAGTCGTTGCAAGAGATGCAGGGTATAATTTCTCCCTTGTTGAGAATTACTGGAAGAAGATGAAGACTTTGGTTGTTTTGTTCTTCGATTTTACGAGGCAGCTAGGTTCTTCCGATGTGTTTGCTTAATAGTTGCCTGAGGTCACTTGTCATGGCGAAGACAGTATCTGCAATTTTGTTTCTTTATAATCTACTGTATGTTGTTTTTCTCATGTTCTTTCTATGTTTTAAGCAATCTCAGATTTTCGTGATAGAAAATGTTTGGTTCATGTCAAGTATTCCGAACTTTTTTTTTCTTCCCCTTGCGGTCTCAACCTCCCGCCGTCTCCACCGCGGTCTCAGCCTCTTTCGCCCCCCTCGTGCTCTTGTAGTCTTCATTCACACCTACAAGCCGTCGTCCACATGTTGTTGTTTCTCTGAGTTTGTTGATGGATTTGTGTAGTGCAGTTGGAGCACAAACCGAATAGAACCCATCAGACCGAACCAAAATAGTTTATACGGTTCGGTTTTCAGTTTTGGTGTGAAGCAAACTGAACCAAAACATGCCCAACCCTAAGTCCAATAACTTTTTAAAGTGAGCTCCTGTTTGTAATTGTTGGATTACATTTTAATGGTCCGGATTCCCGAACTTGGTAGATTAGGAGGAATGGATCTGAGGAGGATCCATTTCCTTAAAAATGTATAAAAAAATTACACATTTCTTTGATAAGTTGTCGCCTCTATTGCAATTTTAGCGCAAATATATCACCATCAATTTTTATTTGAAATTATGCGACTAAACATCACGTGTTAAGCAAATTTCAGACTTGTATTTCACATGGTTGGATGTGGATTCGATTATTAACATTAGTGAACTATACGACAGTGGCTAGAAAATGCCTAAATACCTTTCTGAGACTTCCCAACCCTCACAAAGGTGGACTGGCCGAGGTTTCATCACCAGCTTGTCCTATTTTTCAAACAAAAAAGTACCTTTTATTTAGGAATATTTTCACCACTTCTTTGAGCTATGGATCACTTAGGTTAAACCTTGCGTTCACCAAGTTAATAACGTTGACTTTATTTGACTTCGTTGTGGACTTCATTTGACATCGTTGTGGTCACGAATTTTGGCAAACGTGATTCTAACCTAAATTCCTTGTGGGGAGCATTTTTGCTCACCACCCTATTTATATTTGTCATTGTTAGATGAGTTTAAATTTCGAGATTCGTGTAGTGAATAAGCACAAATTTCAAAATTCACTCATCTAACGATAATAAATAAGATGATGAGCATACACCATACAATGGTGGTGAGAAAAAATGCACTCATTCCTTGCGACTCCTTGCGACTCGTGAAACGAAGACAATGCTCTAGACACAGAGGACGCACGACGTGTTTTTGCCTCACTCACAAAAGTTGCACGACCCTCATCGGTGCTCAACTCCGACAACCGACATGCACTTCAAGGAATCGACAACCGATAAGCAACAAGCACCATGGTTTAGAAGATCAGTTTATACATCGTAAAATTATAATACATGGACAACGACTCAAGCCTAGTTCTGGCAAGCATAAATATCCAGACCAGAAACTTTTACTGCATAACTTGAACTGCCCGAGAAAAGACGCGTTAAAACTTAAACTACTCAGGTGCTAAGTAACCTTTTCGGGTGGTTCATGGCATTGCGTGGGGGCTAACCACGACAAAGGATCACTGGTTAGCCACAATCATTTGAGATCGTAGGAGGTATCAGTTTCCGAAAGAGCATGCAAAGCAGCACTAACAAGTGTTGGCCATAGTCTCGATCAGTAACTGGTAGCCTTCTGGTATGGGTGATTGCTTATGGACACACACTGCCAAAGCAGGAACATCATTAGCAACGTCTAGAAACCTGGCGAGTAAGAGCAGCAAATGGAAATCCGAAATTCTCTTCACAAGTGGAAGATTCTTAGCACGATCCAGATGAGTTTTCAGAGCCTTCAACGTCACTGGGGTGTTACGATTCTCAGTAGGAAAAGATGATGAAAGTGGTCCCTGCATTGTAATACAAGTTCATGTCAGAACAATGGATGTCTTCTTCACAGCGAGAAACACAAGTAAACAGATATGATTTTATTATGATGCAGAACGCAGTAAGTAGGTTAACCTATGCAGCAAAGTGACCGTACAACAACAGTAAACACGTATACAGCAAATGCTTCCCAGATAATGATTATAATTCATGCATCCCTACACTCCTGTCATTTTGATTCCTTCAACCTAATCAATCCATAATACTTGCGGGACAAGTGCCCCGCTAAAGGTATTTCAATGAATTTGGCCATATATAAATTAGATATTCAACAATACTTGCTAAAGGATCCTAGTACGGTGAATCCTATAGGGTCATTACTATAACCCTTTTCGAGATCACTTTCACAAATTATTAAAGTGCTCTTTTGTCCCTTTTTTATTTTATCTTAGTTTTTCTTCCCCTCCCGAAATATGTTTCCACTAATCATTACACCGAGAATAGGTCATCAGTGCTATCACCCACTTGCTGTATCGAAACATTTTTTTGTTCTTGTTCCTTGTCTACCAAAGAGGTAGTTGAAGCAACTTCAAGAGAGAATTTGATCACATGGCAAAAGTATGGCACTAAATGGTTGAGAACCAAAAGACAGCCAAGAGTTTTTGGAGAAGAGAACGTTCACTCAAGATATGTACTCTATAGCACATTTACCCCAAACAAAACACAGGTTCTGGAAAGAAAAATAACATTAAGAACTGCAAAAGTTTGGGAGATCTGAAAAAGCTCATCTCTGGTCATGGAAATGTTGCATACACATATAACACATCCAATAATGCTTTACCAATTCAACCAAATCTTATGACTCTAGTGACAAGCTAGAAAGCCACAAAACCCCAAGTCCTTGCAGGCCACCCAAAACCTAAGTAAACAACTGAAATCAACCCGATTCCAGCCGAGAGAAATGACAAATGCTTATATAAAAAAGAGTGAATAAATTAAACAAGAAAAACATTACACTGCTCGAAATTGCAAACACTCAAACTGCAAGCATTAGGAATGAACACTACACCCTCAACTATCCGGTAAACTGGCATAGCTTCAGTGTCAGAGGTAAGTATGGGAATCTAATTCTTGGAAATAAAAATTGGTTCAGCAGAACTAATGCTTGTGTAGCCCTATAATATACACCCATACACCCCAGAACCTTATCAACAGCCAAAAACACAACATTAACTAGGAAGTGGAATCTCCAATACCCACATGCATACAACGGCAACAAAATTTCCTCCACATCCAGTCTTAAACATCACAGGCAATTCAAAACCAAAGTTAGCAGTTGAATACAACTAGAATAAACATGGAATAAAGCTACACAATTGCCTTGATTATAACATGATTTTGGCCCCGATTTTCTAATTTCCTACCACATTTTCACATTCTTTCCATGACTTTGATAATACCTATTCAAAAGATTTCATTGCCTATTTCACAAAAAATACAATGTTCTACAGAGTTCAATGCCACACCAGGTTATAGACATGCTTCAACTATTGTCCGGGACGTGATTGTTAGAGGGAAACCGAAAAGTAACAACGATCAGCAAGATAAACAACAATCTAAAAAAATATTGCAATTCAAATTGTCCAAGTGAACTAAGATAAAACAAGACAAAACAGGAGAATCGTAACGCACCTGGTGATCGAAGATCTTTACTACCACCAAGAAAAAATCGTTGTCCACCTCCTTAGTATCCTTCACTCCAAGGACAACATCCTTCTTCATCTTGGACAATTTGGGATCATCACCCTCTCCAATCTCGGTCTCGAACCACCCTTCCTTAAACAATCTAATACAGATATCACTCATCTGAAAAGCTTCGAAATGCACATCAGCACCACCATCCTCATTCACCTCCAACTTAACCATGGCGGTCACCCACTCCTTCAAGCCGCTCTCTGCGTGGAACTCCGCCGCCTGAAGCACCTCCCTATTCGACAAAGTATAATCCTTTTTGTCCTGGCTCACTGACTGGGTGAAGATAAACCCAACCCGTCTCATCCCCAAACCCATTGCTATAGCCTCCACCGCCTTTTCCTCCTCCGGGTCTCTGTAAAACACCAAATTGTCCTCCGTCCCCTGCTGCGGAGGCTCATAGATGAAATCCACCTCCACCTTCCCCTCCTCCGACACCGTCCCGTACATAAATCCTCCCCGCTTAGCTGCGAAAGCCAGCGTATCATTCACATAATGCTGGAACGCATTAGCACAATCTCGATCGAACGACACCAGTTCACAGTGCGGGTTCTCCTGGCGCGTGACCTTCATCTGCTTGGCGATCAAATCATCCATAGTCATCTTCCTCCCGAAAGAGCCCGCTGGGTGGAAAGCCGGCCCGGCGACGCTGCGCTCGCCGTCGTAAGCCAAGTAAACAATCGACCCATGTGCGAGATTCAGCGCCGTCAGAGACGTATTGGGATTCGCCATATCGGTGAATCGAGCAATTTCTTCCTGGGTTTTGGCCAAAAGAAGATTCTGATTGGTGGAGATTGTCTGGTTCTGGAAAGGGATTCGGAGCTGGGTTTGTATCAAGGATTTGAGTTCGGAGACGGTAGTGCTCTGTGGGTTCTCCACCGTGACTCGTTCGAGCCCGTCTCTGCTGCGAACTCGGAGCATCATCTTTGCGATTCGGCGGCGGATGGGTTGTGGGTTTTGAGGTTTTTATATTGGGGTTGGTTGAGGACGCGGTGGCAGGACGGTGGGGATTGGAATCGGAAACGGATTCCTGGAGAGCGTGGGATTTGGGAAAGGGAGAGAAAAGGTGGGGAATTTACAGATACTTGGGGAAGGGGAAAGAGTTGTGGAAGTGGGAGACTGTCAGAGAAGCGGAGAAGAAGAGAGTGCCTTTGTAATTGGGCTTTTGATTGGTCCTTTTGTTTTGGGCCCCCGCGTAATTGTTCTTACGCTATTTCCGGAGTGGATTTGGACTTTGGGTTGCAACTTGCACCCGACAATAACTAGATAAGGTCAACTTTAACCAAAAGGGCTATGTTTAGCTCTAATCCAGATTATAGTCTTGCGAGAAATTATTTTTTAATTAACAATATCCGGCCATATTTATATATCATCTCCAACCGAAGGGGGCTATTTTTTAGCCCCCTCAATAATTTATTATTTTTAAGTTTGTTCTTTAACTTTATTGGTTAATTGAATTAAACTGGCATACTTAGAAATGAGTAACTCTCTATATTTCTGTTGACCCTAAAAACTACAAAGCCTACGTGGCGCATGCCGAGTAATCTATGAGCTAACTACGTCATTCGGTTGAATGCGGGGCATGCCAACTCGTCGGCCGAGCTTGGCCGAGGAGTAAAATATGTTGATGTTGCGTTGGGGCGCGGCCGACTTCTATGTCTTGCGATTGTGACTGAGGAAGGAACACATCTCGGCCTTTTGGGTTCTCGAACTTGAAGACAAAGCTACTATTCTTACAAAGTTCACAAATTGTCGTCGTCAGATTCAGCCACAGTGATAGTATTCGTCAGAATAAACTCACGCCGAATCGACACCAAAGTATAAGGGCACAAATACTGAAAGTGAATATAAGTTTTAAGAGTAAACGTTGTTCGGCCGTTGGAATGCCGAACTCTAAATCCCACTTGTGAGTATCCAATCATAAAATAACTCAGTGTCGAGCCCAATAAACCGTAACACCTCATTTTGCCAAGAAGGTTGATGAGATGACCTCAACCAACAAGGACTCGAAAATCCTTCTCGATCGAGACTTGGATAGATAACCAGTCGCCCTCGACGCAGTGCTGTTTATCCAAACTGAAGATGCTGCGAGGTCGGCTGATTCTATGGCGACAGTGTTATCTATGCCGACTGAAGATATCACCGATTGCCTTCAGAGTGCTGTTTATCCAAACTGAAGGTGTGTCGGCGAAAATAGAAAAGGAAAAAATCTCAAGGTTGTTGAGAGAATTTGCGCGTGGTAGTTGTGTGTTGAATTGAAGGTCCATTTTTCCGTTGTTTGTAGCCTTGTATTTATAAGGATGAGCATGCCTGACGTGGCTTGATCTTCAAAGGATTGTATTTGATCTTTGGCGTGGTTTGCATGTGCAGATTAATCTCCCATCAGCCCTTATCTCAAATTGGATCAGTACCAATTTAAAAAAACCACGAAAAAGCGTCCATGTTTGACGGGATCAAAACAAATATAATCGCATGAGGTTATCATGCAGTTATCCAACCAAATAAAATTCTGTTTAATTCAAAATCTCCACATCCTTATTGGTCCTTGGCCGTAGGATTTGATGGAATCAGACCACCAATTTGCATACGCATGAAACTCTTTTTATCACATCCGTGCTCATTCCTGAAGAATATGCTAATTATTAGCATATATTTTTATGCTAATAATTATCCCAATCTAGGATATGAGCGGCTCCATTATTTTTGGTGACCATTAGAGATTTCATCTTGGCATCCCACGCATAGAAGAAGACCATGCATCTTGACAATTCTAATCACACCCATCATGTTATCCCAATCTGATAACAAGAATTCCAAGCCCACTTGAACTGTACTGCTTGCTTGGAAATATAATTTGCATCTTTAAGAATATGCCAAGAGTAATTAATATTAACAGATAAATATTACGATAAAAATCATAATATTATCCTTTAAAATTATCTTTACTATTCCATCCGACGATCTAGAACCATACTCACCCAACGACCTCGATTACATGGGCCGATGGTGTAAAATCGGGTCCAAACAATTTCTTATCTTTATGTAATCTTAATAATTTTTTGGAATATGTTTTTCTTGCTTAAAAAAAAAAAAGATTAATTTTTCGGATAGGAGTTTAAAGAATGTGAAGAATTGAAATAAATGAGGTAAGATAATACGGAATGATGAAAATGATGTGAGAAATGGTGTAGAAATGACTTAGATATTTATAGGAAAAAAAATCAGAATTTTTAGTTTTTATTTTAAATTTCATCTTAAAAGAAAATAAAATTCAAATCCAACGACTAGCTGACGTCAACTAGCATGTGGGTTACTAACAGCTGGGCCCAGCTTTTCGAGCTGGTTGGCTGGCCATATGGTTGGAATTTTGGCCTGGTGGGTCCCAAATTTATTTGGCCTAACCCTCCATTGAAGATGAATTTTGTGTCAAAAAGAGTCATATTTTGACATATAGCCCTTTGGCCGGCCTCATTGGAGATGGCCTAAACGAATGATTATTGAACTATTTGAGAATTTCAAGAAAAGCATCTCCAAGAGTCTCTTCAATTTTTTGTTAAATTACCTTATTGAATAAGTGTTGAAAAAATTATTTCAGCTATCTAGTTAAACTTAACATCTTTAAAAATTCTTGTTATTTTAACAAACCTCTAACATTTTATTGTTTATCAAATTCTTAAAAATATATATATAAATTCAAAGAGAACGTGTGTAGATAGCTAAAGAGTTTTAGGGCTCGTTTGGAAGTGTTTTTGAAATGACTGAAAGCGTTTTTAAAGAAAATGTTTTTGAGTTCCAAAAGTACTTAAAGTGTTTTTTAGAAGAAATACATAACTGATGTTTTCTGGAAGAAGCACATAACTTGTGCTTCTTGCAAAAAACACCTCATATCAAATTTGTAATTAAATCAAATCACATCAAATCTCTAATTAAGTTAAATCTCTTATAACTTCCAACCGCTCCTTTTATCTTGATGGATTATAAACCCAAGCCCTAGCTTAGTGCATTTTTCACCGGCGGATATATAACTCATCGTGCTCCAAATGTAACAAGTAGAGTATTGCTTGTACGACAATAAAATCTTCTACTTCATAATATAGAAAGAACAAAAATTACGTTATAATTGTATGCATGCTTCTTTTAGAGCAGGTTTCGACTTGGACCATCCATAAACCCGTTAATAATCTTCAATCTTGGGTGCATTCGAATTGAAGTGAAGTCTTTTTCAACCGCCCTCACCCGTCCATTTAGTTACTACACGTGTGAGCACAAATGAAAACGTAATATCATTTTTTTTAGGGTTATTATAAAAATGGTCCATGAGATTTGCATGATCAATAGAATTGGTCTCTGAGATTGAAAATCAATATAAATGGTCTTTGAGATTGTCCACTATCCATGATTTTGGTCATTCCGTTAAAAACTCTTTGGGCAATTTTCAAAGCTTCGTAACTCAATCGATTATTAACCAAATTCAACCCATAATATATCAAATGGACTTTATTTCTCTCAATGTTTTTTTTTTTTTTTTTTTTTTTTTTCCATGTGGTGCAATCCGCACCATCCCTCTTTTTTTTTTATATTATTATTTTTTTTCTTTTTAGATGGTGCAATCATCCTTTTTTTTTATATTATTTTTTTTATATTTTTTTTTCTTTTCAGATGGTGCAATCCGCACCATACCCCTTTTTTTTATATTTATTATTTATTTATTTTATTTTATTACATATATATATATTTTTATTATTTTTTTTATTCTTATATTATTTTATTATTATATATTGTTTTCTTTTCAGATGGTGCAATTCGCACCATACCCCTTTTTTTTTTATATTTATTATTTATTTATTTTATTTTATATTTATATTTATTATATTTTTTTCTTCTTTTCAGGTGCAATCCGCACCATACCCCTTTTATTTATTTATTTATTTATTTTATTTATTATATATATATTTTTTTTATATTTTTTTATTTTATTTTTTCTTCTTTTCAGATGGTGCAATCCGCACCATCCCTTTTTTTATTTTTAAAAATTTTTTTTTAAAATTTTTTTTATTCTTTTCAGATGGTGCAATCCGCACCATACCCTTTTTTTTATTTTTATATTTATTATTTTTTTATTTCATTTTATTTTATATATATATATTTTTTATATTTTGTTATTATATTTTTTTTTCTTTTCAGATGGTGCAATCCGCACCATCCCTTTTTTTATTTTTTTTATATTATTTTTTTATTCTTTTGCAGTCCGCACCATCCCCTTTTTTTTAATATTATTTTATTTATTTATTTATTTATTTTTTCAGATGGTGCAATCCGCACCATCTTTTTTTTTTTTTTTTTTTTTTTTCAAATCATCACCGTCTTTTTTCTTTTTTCCTATAAATACCCCCGTATGTTGCTTGGCAATGGACGGAAGATTGAGCAGAGGGAGGATGCAGACATAATGTCACCCGTTGCCAAGCGACATACGGGGGTATTTATAGGAAAAAAAAAAGAGAGAGTGATGATTTGAAAAAAAAAAAAAAAAAAAAAGATGGTGCGGATTGCACCATTTGAAAAGAAAAGAAAAATAAAATAAAATAATATAAAAAATTATAAAAAAAAAGAGGGGATGGTGCGGATTGCAACATCTGAAAAGAATAAAAAAATAATATAAAAAAAATAAAAAAATAAAAAAAAGGGATGGTGCGGATTGCACCATCTGAAAAGATGAAAAAAAATATAAAAAAAATATAAAAAAAAAAATATATAAAATAAAATAAAATAAAAAAATAATATATATATATATATATATAAAAAGGGAATGGTGCGGATTGCACCATCTGAAAAGAAGAAAAAAATATAATAAAAAAATATAAAAAATATATATATAAAAAAAAGGGTATGATTGCACCATCTGAAAAGAAGAAAAAAATATAATAAAAAATATATATATATATATATATAAAATAAAATAAAAATAAATAATAAAAAAAAAAAAAAGGGTATGGTGCGGATTGCACCATCTGAAAAGAAAAAAAATATAATAATAATAAAAAAAAGGGGATGGTGCGGATTGCACCATCTAAAAAGAAAAAAAATAAATATAAAAAAGGCCATTTTAATGGGAGCGGTCTCAGTGG